GGGGGACGGCACACCGGGCTGCTGCCGCGCCTGCCGCAGCGCACACGGAGCGGTAAGTGGGGCACGAACCAGCTCCTGCCGAGCTGGGCAGGTGCCGAGAGGCGCCTTCTCCCTGCCCGGCAAGGGGGCAAGGACCTGGCTGCTGTCTGCAGCTCCAGTCTAGCGCTGGTAAGTAGCATCCAGCTGATGGTCAAGCCATGTGCCTTGGTTGGTGTACAAAGGCCGCCTCATCTGTCAGGCAGTGAACCATCTACAGGAGAAGAATATCAGCCAAAGGAAGAGCCTCCGGGATGCCGTGCAGCCTGCTAGCAAACCCTACCGAGACTGCTGCTACAAGTGAGCACTGACAGTATGGGAGCATGAAGAGGGCAGAAACCTCTGATGAGGCACTTGTTTGGGCAGGGAAGGTGCACCAAGCAAAGCACTGGCCATGGCAAAGAAGTTCTCATAATGAGCAGTTCTGCGAGCCTTGCCACACAAATTGCTTGCCATGTGGAGGCTTCTGTGGTCACCTGCACACATGGCAACCCTGATTTCCTCCCTTTTTCTCCTTTCAGTGGCACTTTGGCTCTTGAGCTGGAGGGACTTGCAACACAGTAGACAATCAATTCATTACTAAAATAAGCAGATATGAGCTATGTACAAATAAACACACCACAGAAATTGCAAACATATTTGGCAGCTTTCACACTTACATCACCCTGTCTACCTTCAAGTATCACCAACAGGGATGTGCATTCAAAAAGACTGTGTTGACACATGTGTCAATGCACTTGACTTTATCCTAATAACTCCTTCCCTAAGATGATCACAAAGATCATATTCTGCCAGTATTTATGTGATTCACTGATTCCTGTACACTGCAAAATGCCATAACACCATGAAAAGTCCATGTCAGATATCCCACTGTTGCTGTGTATCACATGGTGACACCGACACTGGTGTTTTCTTGGAATTTTCCATCTAAACTGCATGTTTTACACTACTCTAGTGTGAAATTTTGATGAACTGGCCTTTTCCTGCTTAATTCTGGAATTTTTATAGGAATCTTTTTGGTCATAAATACTGCTATTTTTTCTACAGTCTCTAAAGTGAGAAAGCAAATACATTCCTCCAATTTAAATTTTCTGGAATTGTAGACATTTCTTTCATTAATCCAGTTAACCTGAATCATATGGCTTTTTGTTTTGTTTTGTTTTCACAAATGTTTTCTTTATTTCCAGTCAATCTAATGTTTGATAATCATGACTTTCAGTTATTTTTCATTGCTGAGATCACATGAGTTTTCTTTGGAGTGTTAATTTCTGTGGCTGTATTAATAGTTTAGTGCCCTCACCAGCCATTCTGGGGAAATGCTCAATGACATGTATGAGGCAGCAGGTGGGATCCATGCAGTCCTAGCTAGACCTCTGTCATGTAGAAGTCTACATCTAATATAGGCTCCCTCCATACACGAGGAAGAATTAAGCATCTTTAACATATGAGTCATGTCATCCTAAAGTAGATGCCTAGAATAGGTCAGATGATTTGTGCCCTAAAATTGCTCCTATTTCTCTGTGTTAAAGAACAAGCCATTTATAGCTTGATGTTTCAATTCTGTCAGCCTCAAGTGAGATGAGATTAATTAATAGTCTTATATCCAGGTTTGTGTCATGCTTCAAAATACTCTAAAAATTCTTATTTGTCAAGAAAGCTGAAAATAGCATTACTTTTTATATTATTCTCAATTTATACATATAAAAAAGCTTTTAAAAGTTTTCTGCCTCAAGACATTTTAGTAAAAATGGCAAATGCCATGTGTTTCATGGGAAAGTCATAACACCTCTCTTTTTAATAACTGAGTCTTTCAGTTCTCTGTCTGCAAGGATGGAAAATAAATGAGTTAGATACATTAAAGGTCCAGAATAAGAACCTGCTCTTGGTGAAATTATACAATACAGGAGGAGTTTAAAAAAAAAACAACAACAAGAAAAAACTCTTTTGGCAGGCTGAATTATTTTTATATGACACTCAAAAAATGATATGTGAAATGATCTTTTTAAACTAAACTAGGTGGCAGAGTACAGGTGAAATAGTTTTCTTTTAAAAGTGCCATAATGTCTAAAACCTGACAGAGGTGTCACATTAGTGTGGTACATGTGAGAAGAACGTGTGCCAGGAACTCCTCAAGAAATGCAGGATCCTTCTGACCAGTTCTGCTCTCAGGAGTTAAAATCCTGCATAAAGCTGATGAGTAAGCTCTTGATGACTCACTGTGGCAGATGCAGTCTTTAATTCCAGGAGGGTATAAGGGAAGTGGGTGTGAATCTCGAGTAGAGGGGAGCTAGGGATGTTCCTGCCTCAGTGTCTTGGGGATAAAAGTGTAGGTTTTTAATACAGCCCCAGCTATCAGCAATGCCAAACTTCTGTAAGGGGTAAGTTTGACATTACACATCACACATAGATTTTATGTGAAGCAAGGTTGGAATACCACCTACTCACAGATGGGTATAATTTTGGGGATGTCCTGCATAATTCATATGTGGCTTTGATACTTATGAGTAATTCAGACATCAAAGCCTCAACTTAGATAACACTTCTATAACACTAAACTTCCTATAGCAAATAACCTGTAGGCTTTCATTTAAGTCCTTTAACAATAAAAAAAAAAAAGGCAACTATTCCAATACTTTCTTCTTTACCTTAAGATATTTTTCATAAGGTAAGCTGGTGTGAAGTACAACATAGAAAATACTGAAGCCTGAAGTAAAGAAAAAAATCCATATTATACTCTTCACTGGGACTAGAAATGTGAATTTAAAGCACTAGAAAGGAGATGGGAACCTCTTTCCTGAGAGCACACCAGATACCAGGCCCTTATGGTCACTCGGCAATATTCCCCTCTGCTTTGCCAGTGGCACAAACCTTCACTTTTCTGCAGTGCAATTTTTTAACAAGCAATTTTATGTTCTCTTCCAGGTTAGCCATTATGCATGGAAAAAATCTCCCCATTAATAACCGTAAAGCTCCTTTATTGTTCTCCTTCAAATCTCCTTAAAACTTCCTTCTGACACCAAACACTTGTCACCGGCTGGGCCTGTTGCTTTTTATTCTCAAGGCTGTTTTTCCCTTATCCTTCCCCCATGGGTTTGTACTATACACCTGTTGTCTTTCATCATGGGTTAAGATCATAAGCTCTTTGGGCATAGACCATCTCTCTTATTACATGTGTCTACAGTATCCGACACAATGGAGCTGTGAGCCCCGAATGGGGCCTCTGGGTACTGCCATGATCCACTTGATAAAGAATGATGATTTTTGACATGGTGAGTTCTGCAGTTTTTCCCAAGTCATTCTGCAGTTGTTCACGCTGATATAACCAGTGTGTGAGAGCAGTGTCCTTAAATCCTAAAAAAAAAAAGAAAAAAGGATGAATGCTTTGGAACTATTTGCTAGAGAGCAAGGGTTTTTCTGTTTTGGTGTTGGGGTTTTTTTTTTCTGTTCCTGCATATTGAAATGCATGGGCTGACATGCAGCAACTCTTTTTTTTGTAGGTTTGTACAGAACTAGAGTGATGTGACCCTGCTCTGAAGCTTCTGCATCCTGTCCTTCAAATTGCAATAAAGACTGTTAGAGTCAAATAAAAGGGGGGGTGGCTCCTGCACCACTGGCGTGAGTCAGTTCCCTAAAGGTCCGTGTGGATTCAGGACACAGCTTTTCCCTGCTGCAGTTTCCCCGCTAGACATGGAAACTAGTCTCTCTCCCTCCTCTTGTGTTTAGTCACATTGGCAAGCAGAGGGATGCAGGAAAGCTGCACCAGTCAGAGCTGGACTGCTGCCTTTTGTGGTGGGGAAGGCAAGGAGAGCCACCCCCTCTACCGCATGCCCATCGAGGAGGAGGACATGCAGAGTCGATTATTTTTAATTAACCCCCTGGCAAAATTCTCCTTCTCTAGAGTTCTCTTTCAAGGCTCCACCAATGACCTTCCTGGACCCCTCTACCTCAGCGGTGCACATCATCATTCACACCATGCAATCTCTTCCCCCAGCCCCCAAGATATTATATTTCTCCTCCTTTTCTCCCTGCCTCTCTCTCTCTCCCCCCACCATTCCCAAATGAGCCTGTCTTTAGGTTTTGTGCTCAATTCAAGGGTTTGCCAGAGTGTCCTCTCCCCTGTGCAAGGCTCCGCATCGTGCCCAGTCCTTGAGCTCTGCTCAAGAACGCTTTTGCAAATGCAGGAGACCTTCTGGCCCTTTGCTGATTCACACAGCTCTTTTCGAAGGGCAAAACCACAATAACACCAATTCTGGGCATCGTAAGAAGAAACAGAAACCCTCTCTCCACTTGCCGAGTCTCTCCCGACAGTTTTAAATAACTTCATTTTGGGGGGCGGGGGAGGGGTTGGGGGCAAGGAGAACACATATTTCGCACTGCACCCCTATCTCCCCCCGTACCACCTCCTACTCGCTTCTCCCTTCTCTCCAGCGCGCTCTTACACACTGGGGCCGAGCTAGGAGCCACGGGTGGCCCGCGGGGCGTCCCGGGCGGCGGCGGGGCCCCGGCGCTCCCCGCACCGCCAGCGGCATCCCCGAAGCTGCCCCCGGCAGCGCAGGGGCAGAGCGGGAGGGCTGCGCACTGCCGGGGCGGGGGGCCAGAGCGGAGAAGGCAAAAACTGCGGCGTGGGCAATACCGACCCGCACCACCCGCCCCAGCTCCCCGAGTTCCCGCGGCCCGCCGGAGCTGAGTTTGAAGCCCGCTTGGGACAGCGGCAGCCCGGTTACCTGCGGCAGAGCGGGCCGGGGCCGGGCTGCGGAGCGGTGCGGGGCGGGCTCGCCTCCGCCTCCCCTGCGGCGGGGCCGGGCCCCGGGCCGAGCTGGGGCTGGGCGGGCAGGGCGCTGCCCGCCCCGCTCCCCCCGCCAATGTCAGCGGGGACTCGGGCTATGCGGGCATCTCCCGAGGAGCCCGCTTCCCGCAGCGGGCGGGCGCGGTATATTTAGCATCGCGTCGCTTTATTCCTCCCCCAAAGTTTCGCCCACTTATTTATTTATTTGCCGGCGAGCGCCGCGCTGCCGCAGAGCAGCAAGAGCCGCTCCGCGCTGTGCCGAGCGCTGGAAGCGGCTCGGTATTGCAGCAGGTAGGGCTGAGCGCTAGGACCTCGGAGAATCCTTCCAGCAGCAATCAGGACTACCTTAAACCCAGCCCAATGCCTCTTCCTGCGCCACTCTGCGTGCTGGATGGAGATCCACAGTCAAGAGCTGCAGCTCAGTGCTGGAGTACAACATTTCACAGGGAGCCCTGCAGAAGCAACACCTGTTTCGAGCCAGCCAAGAAAGACACAAGCACTTGTATGTTGCTGCTTTGCTTGTGGATCGTCAATAATCCTAAACCAGTGGACATCTGCTGAGCCTCCTGAGAATTCTGGATAATAGATTTGGACGTCAAAAGTTTTTTTTTCCTTTTTCTTTTTTCCATTTTTTTTTTGGATTTATCTCAGCCAACAACGTGAGATTTCCCCCCTCCCCCTTTGCAGGATTCATGCTGATGTATGCAGTCTGTTATAGAGTAAAAACAGCGCATGCCTTTCTGGAGTCAGAATCCATAAATCCTGACGTAGCCTGTGCATCTTAAAAAAAAAAATCCCTATAACGCCTAGGTATTTAAGTTGCTATGGTCATTCTTATCTTAAACCAAATGGAGAAACTACGGATTTTTTTCTTTATTACAGTTGGATGGGCTGAAGACCGTATTGCTTGCTAAGAGCTGGGGATATATGCATTTATATAGATATACACATCTATATGTTTATAAATATGTCAGTGTGTGAGTATAAAGTGGTGGTTTCTTAGACTAACTGGTTTGACCTTGAACCTGTACCAGTCAAAACAGAATATTACTTTTATTTATGCATTTAATGGATTGAAGAAAGAACATTTTCTCTGTAACTGCGCTAGGGAGGGGAGAGGAGTGGAATATACCTAATCTTATATCTCCTGGGTTTGGCACCATCATTATTGTTTATTCTCATTCTCTAAAAGCAGAATCTTCTGATGGCTCCCTTAGGTGAAGTTGGGAACTATTTCGGTGTGCAGGATGCAGTACCCTTTGGGAATGTGCCCGTTTTGCCGGTGGATAGTCCGGTTTTGTTAAGTGACCACCTGGGTCAGTCTGAGGCAGGTGGGCTACCCAGGGGGCCTGCGGTCACGGACTTGGACCATTTAAAGGGGATCCTCAGGCGGAGGCAGCTATACTGCAGGACTGGATTTCATTTAGAAATCTTCCCCAATGGTACTATCCAGGGAACCAGGCAAGACCACAGCAGATTTGGTAGGTATTTTCCTTAACCCTTTAGCGGTCATGTGATGAAATAATGGGGCAGAACTGCGGGCGGGGGGACGGTGGGGGGTGCGAGGCGGGTGGGAAGGGGGGTTTGTGTTGATGGCTGATCCGCCGAGGGGAAAAATGAATGTGTCCGGGGGTGCAGATGCACACGAGCGGCACCGCCGCGGCGGAGCAGGAGCCCTCGCCGGGTGCTCGGTAGCGATGTTTGTGTAGCCCCAAGTTCTGCTTAAGAGCAGACGCGTACTGGGAGGTGGTGGTGGCGGTGGTGGAATTTTTGCTCGGGACGTTTCTGCTGAATGATTTGATTTCGCGAGTTTAAAGGGTTTTTAATCATTAACCACCACAATTTAAAATTCACCGAGTTTCCTGGAGGGAGTGGCTCTCGTCCTATACGCAAATTGACGAGGGCTTTTCTTTCGTTTTCTCTGCCGATTACCTGCCCTAGTAACTGGCCGAATTGCACAGCCTGTCTGGTTCGCTGCTCGGCGAGGATTTAGCGGCAGCGCACCCGCAGCCGACCCGCAGCCAGGCTCTCCGCCCGGCAGAGCCCGCACCCGCAGCCGTGCGGCAGTGCCGGTGACAGGCGCCCCGGGAAAGAGGGAGCGCAGGTGGGGTCCGGAGCCAGCCGGGAATCCTGCGCCAAAACCTGCCTTTCCCGAGCTGTGCGGCGTGTCACGGCAAATTTGAAAAGAGCACTCCCTGGGTTTGCTTTCCAGGGGACACTGTTTGTGACTCTGCAGCGAGGGCTGCTGGCCCCGGCCGCTCCGGAGAGCCTGTGCACACACACACGCACACATGCACATGTACACGCGAGTCCAGTGGGCCTGGAGCTTTTCGGCTGCCAGGGAGTCTGTTAAAGGCCCGGCAGACTGAATGTATGAAAGTGACTAAAACAGCCTGGCTGAGCTGATACTTTAGGGTTTTTTTTAAGGAGGGATGCGGAAAATATGCCAGGTTAGCTCGCCACGCTCCCAGCTGTTGGAAGGAGTTAACTTGTGAGTGAACCAACCTGACAACACTTAAATTCGGTCATAAAAACAAAGTCCTGTGTTGATTTTTTTTTTCCCTCTTTGTATTTTAGTGCCAGATGTTGGACGATATCTAAGCTGCACTTTATTGCTTTGTGAAGCTATTTAGATAATGCCGGTGTTGTAGGAGATGATCTCCAAAGGGCTCATAAGGGAAGCGGAGAGGGAGGGACGGGGGAGGAGAGGACTGAGGCTCTCGCATGGTCGCAGGTTCATCCTCCATCCCCCTCCATCCGCTGCTCCCTGACACTCTCACGCTGCTTACAGGCTCTTCCTCCCTCCCACGCCGCCCGCCCGCGGTCTCCGGGGCTGGGTGCGGGGTGGGGGCAGCCTCGCGGCTCTCCCGGGGGCGCAACATCCACGCTTCCTGGCGAGAAAAAGTGCGGAAAGTGTTCCAGGCAGACGCGTAGTGAGGGGAGCGGGGCGGGGGGCGGGGGTGTGTTGCAGCCAGGCGTTTTCCTTGGCACGGGCAGGCGCCGCGCGTGGCTGCCGCAGGTTCCCCGTGCCCGCTGCGCTGCGGCTCGGGCCGGCGGGCTCGGGGCGGCGCGGAGCGGGGCCGCAGCAGGTGTAGGGCGCTGCGCGCACCGGCAGCCGCGGCGGCGGGGGGCTGGCCGCCCGCGGGGCCCCGCCGCCCCCGGAGAAGGGCCGCCAGCTGCTCCCTTCGCAAGGCGGCCGTGACCACATTATTCGTGGCGTCTATTTTTAAAAATGGCTTTCCAGCCGCAGTTGTAGGAAGCTGACAATTCCGAGGGGCAGTTCTTCCACCCCTTGCAGCGCCTTGGCTTTAAATAGATTTTTTTTTTTTGTCCTTGTCCGTTTGATCTCTCTCTTCCCCCCACCGGGACGCGCCTCGGTGGTAACTCTTTTCTCCATGCAGCGCGCCGGTGATGCCCCTGCTCGCTCCGGGGTTGGGAAGACCGGGCACGGCAAACCCGTGGGATGCCTAGGGGCTCCCGGCTTCTTTGCGGGAAGGTACTTTTGTATCGGTGCCGTGACATTGCTGTTGTGTTTGCCGGAAGGTCACAGAATACCTGGTGCTATTTGAGTTTGGGTGATTTTGAAATCTTCTGATGATCCTGGGGAGGTCCGCATCCCATCTCGGGAGCTGCCCTGGGGAGAGCGGGCTCACATGGTCTCCTGCGAGCGTGTGCGGGAAACCTGCGTGCGCGTGTGTGGATGCGGGGGTGCGCGTCAGAAGGAAGTTTTTCTCCAGGAATAAGGAGGACAAAGAGAAAACCCCGGGGGCTGCGCGTAAACTCCTCTCTGGGCTCTGCCCTGTGGGAATCCCCCTCCCCGCACACACCTCTGGAGAGACATCAGATAAGAGTAATTCTTTTGTGATGCTATGTTGGATGTGTGCCTATTGCGTACAATGAACCGAGCCATATTGTGTGTCTATACTCGCCCGGTTCTGGGAGCCCTGGCATTTCGCAATTCCTCAAGCAAGATGTCCATCTCTAAAAGAAAAGCTCCCCGGGAGAACCCGGCTGGGTCCCCCCCGTAATGTGATCTCAGGTGATCAAAGCCTTATCTCTCCCGGGTCACAAAAGAAATTTTTTTGATGCAGTCTCCTTTAGTGTAGGGCATTGGCTAGACAGTAGAGTCATTGTAAATTCAGGAACTCTTTAACAGCGGAGAGGCGTGTCTCTGTGCGTCAGCACAAGTACTGCATGCACAGCACTAAAAAAATAGGAGCATGCAGGAAAAGGAAAAAAAAAAAAGCTTGTCAGCAGGTGACCTCCGCTCCCCGGGACCTGCTGCTACAAGGAACCGCTGCGTTCATCATCTGCGGGAGCCGCGCAGCCGCCCGCCCTCCGCCTGCCCGGCCCGCCCTGCCTGCTCGGGCGCTGGGCTGGCGGGGCGGGCTCAGCGCCGGGCGGGCGCGGGGGCGGCTCCGGCCGGGGGTCCCTGCGCTGCCGCCCCTCCGTGCGGGGCGCGGTGGGCGGGCCTGCCCCCAGCGCTGTCTCCGGGGAGAGCCAGCAGGCCGGGGCGGGGCGGAGCGGGGGGAAGGTGATGCGTGCGGGGAAGGCGCTGGCTCCCGCCACCGGGAATCGTGGGCCAGGTTTTAGGCGGAGGGAAAGGCGCCGAGCAGGCCCGACAGTCTCCTCCGCTATTGAGCGTTGCGGAGGGGAGGGGATGGGGGGGCGGGCAGGGGCGCTGTGAGAGCCTGAAACTGAAGCAGGGCCTTGCTGCCTGGGGGTGCCGTGTCTGTCTGCGCTCCCGTCTTTTAATTGGCATCATGTGGGGGAGCGGGCGGGGTGGTGACAGCTGCGACAGGCGGGACGCATCCCGGCGGAGCGCTCAGCCCCGCGCAGCCCCTCTCCGCAGCCGCGGCCGGAGGGCGGGAGGCCGAGAGGGGGGCGCCGGGGGCAGGGTGAGCTCCTTCCCTCGCCCCATCTCCGCGCTGACCTCCCGGCGGCTTCTGAGACACGAGGGGCTCCCCTCCCCTCGCCCCGCTGCCCGGGGAGAGAACAGGCCGGAGGGTCCCCCAGCGCTCCCCCTGCGCTCCCCTTCCCCTGGAAGCCGTACAAAGAGGGGGCTGGCAGAGATATTTGCTCACTGTCTTCGTTGTCATAGATGGTCTGCTGCACTGCTAAGGGAAAGCTGAACTGCTCCACTCCATTGATACAAAGAAAACCAGAGACAAAAGTGGGCAAAGGGCAAACCATCAACAACATAAAACTGTGTGGTTACAGAGGTGTTCATTGCCTAAAAGCTAAGGAAAATGCTTCTGTAGGCCTGCTTTTAACTATAGCTAAGACAGATGCAAATTAAAATTTTGCTTTAGTGACCAACACACCTCCTCTCACCTGTGAGTGTATCAGGAGAGCAGGACCAGCATTTATGTCAGGCTACTGCCCTGCACCATCCAGCATGGTCTGAGCTGGATCATGTAGAAGAAAGTGTGTGAAGGGCTGATGTGGGCATGTAGGAAATAAATGACTTCCCTGAAACTTTCATCCTGTCCTTGTGAAGGAGTGGATCTTTGAGCATTTTCCTTAATAAAACCACTTCAATACAGTGAGAAGAAATTCAGCACCCCACATGCTGACGTATTTCCTCTCTACTTCTCTTCCTTTCCACATTTTTTAGCTATAAATAGGGCCCTAGCTTTCAAAGTTTGGAGTTGTCCTGATTTTCATTTGATACAGCCTCATTTTGAAGAGGATTGTCTATTTTAATATCTAGTTCAGGCCCTAAGTACTATCTGTATATTATAGACACTATACAGTGAAAATATGCACAGAACTGTGGGACAAATGCAATCCTTGAGCTGACAAGACTTCTGTAAGACTGGATGCTTGGCCCCAGATAATCTCTTGAAGGACTTAATATGGCACATAAAACTTGCTGTGAGTAGGCTTTTGAGTATTTCAAATGAAGAAGTCTCTATTCTGATCTCAAATATGTGCATGCTCCTTGCCAAGTACCTTAAATTAATTTTCTGCACTTACGATAGGATGTGACAGTGCCTTTTTTGTTCTTTTGGTGCAGAAAGCAGCGTGCATTCAAATATTTGAAATGATGACAGCAATTAAAGACTACATTTGGACTGATATGAAAAATGCCAGACTCACTAACTTAGCTATAGTAGTGTCTAATACACACTTAATGTAAGATTTAAACTCAGTTAAAATTGCTTGGTAACATGTATCAAGTAATATGATATTTTGGTAAAAGCTTTAGAGAAAAAGCCTTAGTAAGAAATCCGAAAGTATTGCATGTCCAGATATAATGGGAATTTTAAAATTGTTTCAATGGATCAATTGTATCTAAGACACTACATATACCAGACAAAAGGTGTGCTGCCACTTTATAGTACTTAAATAATTACATAGTGACAAAATATTTCCCCCAGTATTTTTTATTTGTGCATATGTAGAGAATAATTTAAAATGACCAGGCCTTAAAAAAGGTTATCAAAACAATAATACTGTGGTGTTTGTAGTGCTGAATAATATATAAGGTAATGATCAATACTCCCTTACAGGGAATACTTTTCATCTTTACATTAGCTTGGCCATAAATTTTCCCTATTGGCTTCAACTTGTGCTATGTTCAATCTCTGCAATTCATGCCTGCTATTGATTAGTGCACAACTATTTTGTAAGAGATGCCAAATTAATTGTTAAAAAAAGCCACAAAAGTGCCTTTTTATTGGCCATGTGAGGCTCAATACACACTATACTGTTATTTCATTATTTCATATACATATAATTTCCAATAAGCTTTAAAAATAGTTATGCAGTGAACTTAGACATGAATATTCACATAATGTATTGAAAATGCTAGTCTGTGCAGGACACACCTTATTTTGTGACTCAGAAAGTAGTGACTCCAGCATGCTTCTGAATGTTGCTGGATAACTTCCTGTGAGACCATTACAGTCTTAGATGAGCACTCCCAAAGAGGAAGAAATTTCCATTTTTTAACACAGGATTACTAGGCTTGTGCCAGATTTCACCAGTAGCATCCTCACTGAAGAGGTAAGCAATTTTCAGGGAAGGCTGAAAATCCCCAAACAGGCGGGCCAAACATTTTCAGGCCAAACAGGCCAGAAAATCCCCAAACCCTCAGAACCTGATGAGCCAATACTTGATACAGATACTTGTACTGTGCACACGGGTGCTGAACCTTGGAGCTTTGCAAAAGCAGTGCTTCTCTGCAAAGTATTCTTGTTTCTAAGTGAACAAATGTCAGTGTAAGGTTGCTGTTATTTGCATGGGAAAACTTAATCATGTACACACTGTTACACTTAGGTGTAGGATGTTTTAATGTCTGAATTTTAGATGAGTAAATGATAACACACCAGAGAGAATGGTTACTATCTAAACAGAAATGCATGACACTGGACTATACTAAGGATTTTCATTTCTCAAGCCTCTGGAAGATCATACTGTGAGTAAATCTTTCCCTGTATTTCTGATTCATTGATGTCTGAAAGGAGATCTTTTGGTTCCATGTGTAACATTGCTTTATTTCACAATTCCAATTAAAATGCATATTTTTTCAGAATTTATTTTGCAAGACAAGTTTCATAGGTTCCTCATTCCTGCTAATTTTGGCAATCTAAAACCTTTTTTTTTTCTCTGAATATATTATCTGTTGTGCAAATCAGAATAACTGAGCTTAAGATACGTGTTTAGGAATGATGAGAAAGATTGGGGCAATCTCTAAATTTGATACATTAATGCTGTCTGTAGTGCATCATTCAAAGATCCAAAGTGCTTGAAGTATTGCATATTAATTTTGTCCTCATCTTCCAAACAACTCAGAAAATGGGAAAAAAGCCTTGAAAATAGCTGCTTGACCCTCAGGGATAAGTCATATCTGGGGAAAAAAATCTTTCAATAGGAACAATTCGTACATTGTTTGTTTTTTCCTTCATTTCATAGGTATACTGGAATTTATCAGTATAGCAGTGGGCTTGGTCAGCATCCGAGGAGTCGACAGTGGACTTTACCTTGGAATGAATGAGAAAGGAGAACTGTATGGCTCGGTGAGTTCCTGCTAGCCTTGGGCAGTTTTAATCCTTACATTCTGTGGGGGAAACACTGGCCAGGTCCTACAAGCTCCCATTGCACTATGTGTGTGTGCTGTATGAGCACTCTTTCTGCTCTGAATATCTTGCAGTCTAATTCAAAACAAGACCCCGTGGGTGACATAATGAATGTGGGAGAGGGAAAAGGTGACAAAATCAGGAATGAGTAATAATGCAGATGAATGGCAATTTAGATACAAACAATAGAGACTGATGGCCAGAGCTGGTCACTGAAGACTAAAGGATGTACTCTAAGATTTTTAAATGTCTCCTGTCAGTGGAAATCGAAATCCAGACAAAGCAGATTCCTTTTGTGTGTAGGCAGAGAGCTTTCTAGGAATTGACAAAATAAGGTAGAGGGGGAGGAAAAGGGTGGCATATGTGGATGAGAGAATGAGAAACAAGAGTATGACAGAAGTTATAAAAAGTGTAGGAATGAGGGCAAGAGGCTTGGTGATCTTGTCCTGAAAGTTTCGTTGGTGCTCCCTGAGGGATGGCAGCAGGAGTGAGTAACGGTAGTGAGGGAGGAGTAAAACTTGGTATTTCAGATGTGGGAGTTTGCCAGCCTACCTGCAGCTGATGGGTGACTGTTCTTGGCAGCATGGGCTGTCTTCCAGCAGAGCAGAGAGAGAGAGAGTGTGTGTGTATGTGTGTGTGTGCATGTGTTGGTATGACGTGGCTCTTACCTGGGACTATTGGAGGCAGCTGATGTACAACCGGCTTCATACCCTGGATACATCGTGGGCAGGTTCATCTGGAATTTGGCAGATAATTCCCCAGATGGTAGAAGGCAAGCTCTTCTAGCAGTAAAATATCAACCTCCAAAGCTTACAAGCGGTTGTGTTTGAGGAAAAGGGTGGCAGGATTGAAGGGTAAGTGAATATCTGAGGCAAAAGTGAATATCTGAAACGAAGTGAAGCTGTGTATTCACAGAAGTTCATTAGAAGCAGAGGAGAAGGGTACAATGATCCATTGTAATGTAGTGTAAATGTTGAAGAGAAGCACTCAAAAAGAAGTTAAAGTGATAGAGAAGGGCTTTGAATGTAATTGAAGACACCTGTGTCACAGGGGAGTAGCAGTAACAGGGAGAAGGGTGGGGATGGCAGTGAGAGTAGGAGAAAACATGAGATGATGTCTGTGAGTGGGCAGGTGAAAACAGAAGGGATAAGAAGGGATAAGAGGGGAGTCCAACTTCCATGTACGTTATCCATGTAGAAGTGTGAGCAAGTGAAACTAGGAAAGTCCAGCAGCAGTGTTTCCGTAAGGGTGTCCAGGTTCACTGATCTCTTTCTAGCAAAATTTTGTGTGAGAGAGATGAGGAGGATTATCTTCTCAACAAAGAACAGGCTAGGTGAGGAAGCCGGGAGATGCAGATAATGACAGTGTATGTGGGAGGCAGAAAAAGAGGTGGTAAAATGAGGGGCAAGGCTGGGATGGAGGATGAGTGGACATGGGAGAAGGGGAGATGCAGAGGTGGTGAGAGCCAGTGAGCGGGAAAGGCCAAAGAAACTGAATTTAGCATAAATGTCAATATGGAGCAGGTAAAGTTTGGAAGGATGGAGAGGGAGTGAGAAAAGGAATTGATGCAATGACAGATGTAAACCAGTTGCCTGTGAGGAGCAAGTTGTCATAAGTCATAGTCCTTGTGCAGCTGATGAATGTGATAAAGAACTAGCAAAGTACATGAGTACATCAGGTTCAGTTAGGCAGCAAAAAGGCAGAACAACAACAGTAATATGAATCAGTAATGTTGATAGTCATCAGTGAGAGTAATTGTTTCAACATATAAACATAGTGAATCAGTTACTCTGCATTTCAGATATTCTGTGACAGGAAATGTGGTTATTGATAGGACTTAAATGCATAGACTTGGGAAAGCAAACATTACATAACTTTCCTGTGCAATTTATGTTTTGTATTTGCAATATGTTTGGCTGTCAGAGTGAATTAGTCAAGACAATCTTTGCTGAAGAAATATACACAAGAAATTCTTTGCAAATTAGTAAGCTCACTGCATTTATAAAATAGTTGTTCCATGAACAGCAGTTCTAAAGGAGCCTACTTTCCTAAGGAGCTGTGTCTCACAGTACAAGGCATGGGTCTCTCTGACATTCTGTCCCTGCAGTAGCATAAATTCCCTAGCCTTTTGTGTTTCCTGTATGGAGAAAGGGACAGTGTTAGCTGTCCATGCTCACCAGACTGTCAGTTTGCAGGGATTACATAGCTCACCACTCCCAAGTGGGATGTGCAAATTATTTCTCTTCTTTACTCTGGCTCTGATTAGTTGCAAAACTGATAGGAACTTAATTTTCTTGAAGACCTTTGCCTCCTAATTGAAACTGGTTGACAAGCTAAGGAGAGACAAGCAGGCAAATGGATGTATAGTATAATTGGATAACCTCTTTTTCCTAAGAAATGGTGCTAAAAATATGAAGCCATTCATAATGGAGAACTGGCAATGTCTGAGGCTAGAATGCAAAGTTCAGGTTAAAATCTGATGGATGATAGGGCTTATTGTCAGCCTCCAGAGATGGGACATACTAAAGAGTGATGGTAATTGAATTACATTACTTCCAATGAAATATAACCTCTAATGGCTACTCAGTGCGATGATGCTTTAAAGCCTTGTCAACACTAGCAATCCCAGTGCCTATATTTCAGCAACTGTCAGCTCTCTTAGAAACACTGAGATAAGCAGACCTCAGAGCAGATTTTAGTGTAGAATTGGCTGGACATTTTTAAGTGACAGTATTTTGCTTTTGGTTTTGGTAAAAAAATGCAATCAATTGAAAGTGAAGTTCTCTGATGGGAATGAATTTGCTGCTTGAACCAGAAGCAGGTCACAATCCAGTACAGAATTATCTCTCTGGCAAAGTAGAAGATCAGATTAAAAGAAATTATTTTTGAGACTGATGTGTGGTAGACTGTGAAAAAGTTAAATCAGTTTTTCACCTGCATTAAGCAGACCAATCTCTCCATCTGAACTGCTCTGTAGCACCAGTAAGTTGTCCTTGTGCTGCTGTGCTGTGAGGTGTATCCCTCTGTCTTGGTTTATTCCCTAGGGGCTGTGAGCAGCATCAGCTTTGTCACCTAGCAGGTACATTTAAGACACTGGCTGTGTTTCCTAAGATAGGAAACCCACACACAACTGAGCAGCAGCCTAAGAAATGCTTGGTCTTGCTCTGCATCAGCACTGGGGATCTAAGTAGGTGCTTAGATTCACAGCTTGTGAGGCATTCAGTACTCGACACTATTGGAATACATGCCCTGTGTCTGACACTATCACATTTATATTCTAATTACTGCATAAAAAATACATTAGGAATGAACCAAATCAGTGACCTAAAAGACCTCTATCCTTCTATATTTGTATTTGAAACATTTGACACAGGAAGTTTTTTTCCCAGCATAATTGTAGTGCCACTGGAGATGGGACATATGGCCAAGCACAGCAGCCTGGATGGGTGATTGCTGCCAGTTTTTATAAAAGACAACAGAAGAGGCAGTTTCAGCATATCTTGATCCAGTCACATCCCTCTTGGCCTTCTCAAAGTTCTGCTTTCCTCATAGATTAGCTGCTTGACAAGCTCTTCCCACCTCCCCACTCTCACAGGGGTCAGTTCCTGCTGCATTTTCTGGTCAGAAGAGCACAGTGTCTCTCATGCTGCTTTCAGGCAGATGTGTAACATAACGTGGCTGTTCTCAAATTCCTCCTCACGCCATGGATTTAGCCAGGGGAAGCTGAAAATACATGCACATGGTGCTGCAGGGGAACCATTGGTAGCTACCTAACAATGACTCTGAGCCTGGTTGGTGACAGCAGCTTTCCCTCCTGCCTCATCTGTCCCTGCTTTCCCTTTACCTTGCCTTTCCCTGGCAGCCTGCAGCTATGACTCATCATGTTTCACAGCAGCTGCTGTGCTTGCCACTGGAAAGGAGGAAAATGCAAACTACAGATAGGACCCAAAGGGGGTTAAGACAAGACATGAAGACCTTTCCTTTCCCAAGTGCCAAACAGCTTTTACCAACATGTCTGGCAAGGACGTTAGCAAATGTGTGTGAGCTGTGTTCCTCAGGGCCATGCCACAGAGGGAGGGAGGTCTTTCTGATCAGTCCCACAACCTTCATGCTTTTGTAGGCTTTCCCTATTGTCATGCTGCCCTTGGGAATATTAGCAGCTATTGTAACTATTACAGTAACAAAACATTGTGAATCACTCTCTAATTTTCTTCCAGCTTGTGTAATAGTAACTGTGTTAATCATTTAAATGGTTTGCTGTATTTCCATCCTTTATACAGCAGTATTTAGAGGTGCTCCCATCACTCTGGCAAGGGACATTGCTGACTTTATGTCATGCAAGTCATTATATGGTCAAATACTAATTTGAAAACCTAGCAAAAATGAATATTCCCACTGTAGGCTGTCCTCTGAGGGAGTTCTGTGCTACCTCAAGCATAGACCAAGCAGGAACATGGGACACCCTTGCCTCAGCTGCCCTGGCTGTCCTGGGCTTTTCTGCAGCAGAGAGCTGTGCTGCATCTGAGTGCTGCCATGCCTACCTCGCTGATCTCTCACAGACATGCACCTGCCCCATTCCTCTCCTCAGACTGAATATAAGTAAATTTTTTTTTGGTGGTGGGTGTAGTGAGGCACAGGAACAGGTTGCCAAGAGACACTGTAGATGCCCCATTGCTGAAAACATTCAAAGTCAGGTTGGACCAGGCTCTGAGCAACCTGATGTATTTGAAGATGTGCATTGCAGGGGGGTTAGACTAAGTGAGATTTAAAAGTCCTTTTCAACCCAAACCATTCTGTGAAATGCTGGTGCCTCCACTGCTCCTTGTGCCCTTGGCAGGTGGCAAAAGACAGCTCAGGTTGGTGCTCAGGAGGAATTTTGGTAGCTGCAAGATCTGGAGCACCTACCAGGAAAGCTGTGCAGGTGGGGAGAGGAAGGCCGG